AAATTTAAACCAAGATAAATAATCTTCTTTAAGTTCGAATTAGCAAATTTATAATTTTGTGTCATAAAAATACAATTTTCTTTCTTATTTTAAAAATTATAGTAAAATAAACGCTCATTCATGATTTAAAGAAAATTTCAGAAGCCATGGCCTCGTTTAGGACCAATTTCATTAAATTTAATTTTATTTACAAAATAATCGAAGAAGTAGCCAGATAACATTTAAATTAAAAAATTTTCATTTCAATAAATTTCAGTAATTTTTTGCATACAAAATTACATTCAAAAGAAATATTCGATTCCTTTAAATATTTTGATACATGCCGTAGCAAAAAATACAAATAGAGAGTTTAACTAAAAGAAATACCTTCTAAAACAAGTTCCAGTCATTTTTTGGATAAAAACTTATTTTTGTCCGAATTGGAGAAAAAAACGGAGAAAATTAAATAGATATTCGAGGTCCTGAGAAATTCTAGGACAAAATAGAGTTATTTCGGACAGATATTTTCAATTTCAAAATTTCTACTAAAATTGGTGGAGGCGCCGGGACAATAATAATAATTATAAATGTATTTATCTCTAATCTCTTCAAGATTTTTTATCTGAAACTATATATCGAAACAGATTACATATTTGTCTTTAACTATCTTCATATTTGAACTAAGTAAATAACAAAACAACATAAATTTAAACCAAGGTAAATAATCTTCTTTAAGTTTGAATTAGCAAATATAATTTTGTGTTATAAAAATACAATTTTTTTTCTTATTTTAAAAATTATAGTAAAATGTTGCCCTTTCATGATTGAAAGAAAATTTCAGAAGCCATGGCCTCGTTTAGGACCAATTTCATTAAATTTAATTTTACAAAATAATAATCGAAGAAATAACCAGATAAAATTTAAATCAAAAAATTTTCATTTCAATAATTTTCAGTAATTTTTTGCATACAAAAGTACATTCAAAAGAAATACTCGATTCCTTTAAATATTTTGATACATGTCATAGCAAAAAATACAAATACAGACTTTAACTAAAAGAAATACCTTCTAACACAAGTTCAGGTAATTTTTTGCGTAAAAACTAATTTTTGTCCGTAGTTGGAGAAAAAGGGGGAGAAAATAAAATACGTATTCGTGATCCTGCGAAATTTTACGACAAAATAGAATTATTTCGGACAGATACATTCAATTTTAAAATTTGTACTAAAATTGGTGGAGGCGCCGCCGCCGGGACAATAATTATAAATATATTTATCTCAAAAAACTTAAGGACTTTTTACCTGAAACTATATATCTCAACATATTATATATTTAGCTTTAACTAAATAACAAAACAACATAAATTTAAACCAAGATAAATAAGCTTTTTTTAGTTTGATTTGGTAAATATAATTTTGTATCATAAAACTACTATTTTTTTTCTTATTTTCGAAATTATAGTAAAAGTAAACGCTTATTCATGATTGGAAGAAAATTATTTCAGATGCGATGATCTCGTTTAGGACCGATTTCATTATTTCATTTTACAAAAGAATCGAAGAAATAGCGAGATAAAATTTAAATTAAAAAATTTTTATATCAAGAATTTTTGGTAATTTTTGGCGTACAAAACAACATTCAAAAAAAGTGATCACCTCCTTTAAATATTTTGATACTCGATCATAGCAAAAAATACAGATACAGATTTTAACTAAAATAAATACGACCTTCTAAAACAGGTTTAGTTAATTTTTCGCTTAAAACTCATTTTTGTCCGTAATTGGAGAAAAAAAAAACGGAGAAAATAAATACATATTCGTGGTCCTGAGAAATTTTAAGTCAAATAGAGTTGTTTCGGACAGATACGTTCAATTTTAAAATTTGTACTAAAAATGGTGGAGGCGCCGGGACAATAATTATAAATAAATATATATCTAAACTCTTCAGGACCTTTATCTGAAACTATATATCTAAACAGATTACATATTTTTCTTTAACTAGTTTAAAATTTGAACTAAACAACAAAACAGCTTAACAAAAAAATAATCTTCTTTTAGTTTAATTTAGCGTCATAAAAATACAATTTTCTTTTTTATTTTAGAAATTATAGTAAAAGTAAACTCTTATTCATGATTGAAAGAAAATTTCAGATGCGATGATCTCGTTTAGGACCGATTTCATTATTTTATTTTACAAAAGAATCGAAGAAATAGCGAGATAAAATTTAAATACAAAAATTTTCATATCAAGAATTTTTAGTAATTTTTGGGGTACAAAACAACATTAAAAAAAGTGATCAACTTTTTTAAATATTTTGATACTTGATCATAGCAAACAATCCAGATTCAGATTTTAACTAAAATAAATACGACCTTCTGAAACAGGTTTAACTAATTTTTTGCTTAAAACTCATTTTTGTCCGTAATTGGAGAAAAAAAAACGGAGAAAATAAATACATATTCGTGGTCCTGAGAAATGTTAAGTCAAATAGAGTCATTTCGGACAGATACGTTCAATTTTAAAATTTGTACTAAAAATTGTGGAGATGCCGGGACAATAATTATAAATAAATATATCTCTAAACTCTTCAGGACCTTTTATCTGAAACTATATATCTAAACAGATTACATATTTTTCTTTAAATAGTTTAAAATTTGAACTAAACAACAAAACAGCTTAACAAGATAAATAATCTTCTTTTAGTTTAATTTAGTGTCACAAAAATACAATTTTCTTTTTTATTTTAGAAATTATAGTAAAAGCAAACGCTTATTCATGATTGAAAGAAAATTTCAGATGCGATGATCTCGTTTAGGACCGATTTCATTATTTTATTTTACAAAAGAATCGAAGAAATAGCGAGATAAAATTTAAATACAAAAATTTTCATATCAAGAATTTTTATTAATTTTTGGGGTACAAAACAACATTCAAAAAAGTGATCAACTCCTTTAAATATTTTGATACTCGATCATAGCAAAAAATACAGATACAGATTTTAACTAGAATAAATACGACTTTCTAAAACAGGTTCAGCTTATTTTTTGCTGAAAACTCATTTTTGTCCGTAATTGGAGGAAAAACAAAACGGAAAAAATAAATACATATTCGTGGTCCCGAGAAATTTTAAGTGAAAATAGATTCATTTCGGACAGATACGTTCAATTTTAAAATTTGTACTAAAAATGGTGGAGGCGCCGGGACAATATTTATAAATAAATATAACTCTAAACTCTTCAGGACTTTTTATCTGAAACTAAAAATCTAAACAGATTACACATTTTTCTTTAACTATCTTCATATTTGAACTAAATAACATGACAACATAAATTTAAAACAAGATAAATAATCTTCTTTTAGTTTAATTTGGCAAATATAATTATGTGTCGTTAAAATACAATTTTGTTTTTTATTTTAGAAATTATAGTAAAAATAAACGCTTATTCATGATTGAAAGAAAATTTCAGATGCCATGATCTCGTTTAGGACCGATTTCAATAAATTTAATTTTACAAAATAATCGAAGAAATGGCCAGACAAAATTTAAATTTCAAAATTTTCATTTCAAGAATTTTTAGTAATTTTTTGCATACAAAAGCACATTCAAAGGAAAACCCGTTTAACTAATTTTTTCCATAAAAACCCATTTTTGTCCGAAATTGGAGAAAAAAACGGGAAAATAAATACATATTCTTGGTCCTGAGAAATTTTACGACAGAATGGTGGATGCGCCGGGACAATAATTATAAATTTGTTTATTTCAAAAACCTTCAGACCTTTTTAAATGAAAATGTCTTTCTAAACAAATTACATATTTTTCTTTAATTATATATTTATTTGAACGAAATACAAAACCAACATAAATTAAACCAAGATAATTTTTAATCATAAAAATACATTTTTCTTCCTCATTAATAAAAATAGAATGGAAATATACACTGGAACGCGTTTAGAATCAATTTGAAAGAAATTAGCCATCGAGAGAAAATTCGTCCACTAATTTCTCTTCTATAGAAACACATTTTTCTTCGTTATTGCAAGAGCTCAAGTAAGCACAACTTCGCGCTCCTGAGATAATTTCCCGCAAGACTAATACCAATTTAGTCGGATTTAATCGACTTTAATAATTTTTCCTATAAACAACCGATTTTTTTGCGTTTCTCTCTGTTTCTCTTTTAATTAGACCGAATCATTGTTCACTAAAACCGTCGCAATAAATTTTGCCCGCATTTTCATTAACGCGAAAAACTTACACAGATCCCACTAGTTCCTTCAGCAAATTATAAATTTTACAACTCGTTTCTTCACTGAATCACTCCCCCGAAAACCGTGCAAAACATTCCAGGACGTCTCCCCCACCCCGAAATTTTGCCCCTGTGTACCTAAAACTCGTAAACATCCACTTAGTTTTTCTCTATTTTCGCAGCATTAAATTCCGATATTGAACCGGCGCAAAAAATCCTCATACTTTTAAAACAATGATGAATCGCGTCATCGGTAAACAACGCTCTGAGTCGCCAAGATTGATGGAATCGGCTTACGCATAAAACTTTGTAAATAAAAAAATCAATCCAATATTTCAATATTCAAAACAAACACCGATAGTCAAACCCAGTAAAAGAAATTAATCAAAATTGGGGCGTATTCTCCAGGCTCGCCCCATAAATATTAATGCTGGAATCTTGGTGGCTGGACGTTAATTTACATTTGGAATATAAATCCGAAATAATTTTATTTGGCGCTTTTACGTTGCTCAGTCCCAGGGCTAATTCGTATGATGAACAAGACGGCCCAATTTGCCAAATGGCCCATTATTTTGCTAAAAAGCCCGACTTTGCATAATAGTTACATTGTCCTTGATTTGCGGAATTTATGCACCTAAATAACGCCCTGTGTTAGTTCAGTCATTATCGTCCAGACGTTAATTATCCAGTGGCGCGCATATTGATTAATTAACAATTAGCACCAGTACAATGCATTTCCCCACGTGTGGAGAATCAGACTAATGACACCCGTTTTAGGTGGCGGCGATTGGGGGCGTCATGCGCTTCTGCAACATGCTTCGTGCCGGAATCACTTGGAAAGGTCCCGAGGTGATCGAGCTATGATGCAGGAATTCCTACCCCGACGACGACGATCCCGGCTACGGCTACGACTCCGACAGCGACTGCTCGCTCCTGGTCGGTGTGTCTTCGTCGTCGTCCAGAGGTTCCAGTGACGGCTCCGAATTCGTCTGACATATCCGGTGCGCCAGAGGCTGAAAACCGACGCTTCCGCGACTTGAATTTACATACCAAGGGACTTTCATCTAATCGTAAGGGTTTCATGTGCCAAGAAGGGTAATCAAAAGGGCTGCGCTAACGTTCACATTTTCTTGGGAGTCTTCGTGCCGAAGGCGCGCGTGTGGTCGAAAAGGGTTTTGGAACACACGGCGCGACTTCGGGTTCATCCTGTATATAACTTTCGCCAGCACGGCATCCCCCGCTGGTTATTTTCCTGTAAAATTTCGCTGACAATAACACTAAGTGTTTATGGTGATTATTTCGTTTCATTGTTAAATAAACACCAATTGTTTTGTGGCGCGTTTCGTTTGTTTTGGGGTATGGAAACATGAGATGTTATATTTTTATGTGGAGATGCTCTGGATTGATTATATGAATCTTATATTCCTAAAGTTTATAAAAGTTTTGTGTAAATATTAATAAATATCTACAAGAGACGGTGTTTTATTCCGATGATAAACATTTACCTCAGTTTTTGTTTTCAGGGAAATTGGACAACGTAATAAATTTGGGTTTGTTTTTTGTGTGTTTACCGCAATTTATTTTTACCGCCACGCCGCCAGGAGAAGGAGGAGCTGGTCTGCGTAGAACTTTGACATTATTAACCCCAAAACACTAAAAAAAATCAAAATTAAGTTATAAGGCCAAATTGACTAATTTTTTGAAGCGGTGAAGACGTTGGCATTTTCTCTTACAATTTTGTCGAATAAATGCTATTTAAATGTTAAAAAGTAGCATAGTCCTGAACCTATAAATAATAAACACGCTATTGAGATTTTTCGACTTTTCAATTTTTCCATTCTTCAAATTTTAGGTTTCTCGATTTTTTTATTTTTCGATTTCTCAATTTTCCGATATTTAAATGATACGATTTCTCAATTTTTGTCCTCTTCAATTTTACGGCTTTTAAATATTTCGATTTTTCAATTTTTCAAATTTTGAAGTTTCTAAATTTTCAGTTTTCCGATTTCTGAAGTAATCCTTTTTTATTTTCCTATTTGTCGACTTCCTAAAGTTTCGATTTTTCACTTCTTCAATTCTTCAATTTTTTGATTTTTCAGGTTTTTGATTTTTCAATTTTTCGATTTCTAAATTTTTCAATTTTTAATTTCTCAATATTTCGATTTTTCGACTTTTCTATTTTATAGTTCAATTTTTCAGTTTTTCAACTTTTCGATGTTTTAATTTTTCAGTTTCTAGAATTCTATGTTTTTTGATTTCTCGAGTTTTCAGTTCTTCCACATTTCACATATTCAATTTTCCGAATTTTTAAATTTTCGACTTTCCAGTTTTTCTTTTTTAAAGTTTTTCGATTTTTCAATTTTTGATGTCTCGATTTATCGAAGTGGGATTTTTCGATGTTTCGATGTCTCAGTTTTTGGATTTTTCGATGTTTTGATTTTTGGATTTCTCGGATTTCGATTTTTTACTTTTTGGCTATTCAGTTTTTCGGTATTCTAATTTCGATGTTTCGATTTTTCAGTTATCCGATTTTACAATTTTTCGATTTTTTAAATTCTGGAGTTTCGATATCTCGATTTGTCGAGTTTTCTGCTTTTCAATTTTTAAATTTTAGTTTTCCGAATTTTTATTTTTTGATTTTTTGATTTTTGGATTTCTCGATTTTCAATTATGCGATATTTTAATTGTTCTATCTTTTAAATTTTAGATTTTTCGATTCCTCGATTTTTTGATTTTACTGATCATCAGTGTTTCTGTTTTTCAATTTTTCAAATTTTAACGTTGCTAAATTTCCAGTTTTCCATTTGCTCAATTAATCAATTTTTTTATTTTTCGATTTTTCACTTCTTCAGTTTTTCGATTTTTCTACTTTGCTTTATTGGTTTATCAATTTCTCAATTTTCCAGTTTTCGTTTCTTCGACTTTTCGGTTTTTCGACTTCTGGATATTTCGATTTTTTATTTTTTGGATTTTCACTTTTTCGTTTTTTAAACTTTAGATTTTTCAATATTTCGATTGTTGGACTCCTAGATTTTTTCATTTCTCGGTTTTTTCTTTTTGGCTTTTGAATTTTTCGTTAAATTTTAGATTTTTCAAATTTTCGCTGTTTTATACTTCGATTTCTCAATTTTTCAACTTTTAGGTGTTTTAATTTTTCAATTTCTAAAATACTAAGTTTTTCGATTTCAAGTTTTCAGTTCTTCTATGTCTCAATTTTTCAATTTTCTGAAATTTAAATTTTTGGTTTTTCAGTTTTACTTTTTTTGAATTTTTCGATTTTTCAATTTTTTGATTTCCCGATTTATCGAATTTAGATGTCTCGATGTTTCGATTGTTCAATTTCTCGATTCATCAGTTTTTCAATTTTTAACTTTTTTTCGGCTTTCGACTCCTCGATTTCTCGATTCTCTGATTTTTTACTTTAGGGGTTTTCAATTATTTATCGATTTTCCAATTTTTCGATGTTTAGATTTTTCAGTTATCCGATTTTTCAATTTCTCAATTTTTTAAATTTTGTAGTTTCGATTTCTCGATTTGTCGATTCTTCGGTTTTTTGATTTTCAAATTTTAGATTTTCGAATTTTTATGTTTTGATGTTTGGGTTTCTCGATTTTTCAATTTTAGGATATTTTGTTTCTTCAATCTTTTAATTTTTCAAATTTGGACGTTTCTGAATTTTCAGTTTTCTGATTTCTCAATTAATTTATTTTTTTGATTTTCCCATTTCTCGACTCCCCAAAGTTTCGAACTCTCAGTTCTTCAGTTCTTCAATTTTTCGATTTTTCAGGTTTTGATTTTTTAGTTTTTTGATTTTTTAAGTTGCGATTTTTCGACTGTTTTGACTTTTCGGTTTTTCAATTATTTAATTTCCCAATTTTGGGATATTTCGTTCAATTTTGTATTTTTCAGTTTTTCGATTCTTCAATTGTTTTTCTATTTTTCAATTTTTCTATATTTCAGTTTGGGATATTTTTTTTATTTTTCAATTTTTTTTAGTTCTGGATTTTTACTTTTTGGATTTTCAATTTTTCGACTGTTTTATATTTCGATTTCCCTTTTTGTCAACTTTTCGATATTTTAATTATTCAATTTTCTTAATTTTTAAATTTTCGATTTTTCAATTTTTGTCATCTCGAGATTCGGATGTTTCGACGTTTTGATTGTTGATCTGTCGATTTATCAGATTTTTCATTTTTATCTTTTCGACTTGTCGATTTCTCGATTTCTTGATCTTTAATTTTTCGATTTCTCGATGTCTCAGTTTTTGAATTTTTCGATTTGTCGGTTTTTAGATTGTTCAATGTTTCGATTTTTAAATAATCCGATTTTTCAATTTTCCAATTTTTTAATTTTTCGAATTTTGATCGAAATATTCAAAAATTGGAAAAATAAAAATTGAAAAATTGGGAAATCGAAAAGTCAAAAAAGCAAAATCAATAACCTGAAAAATCGAAAAATTGAAGAATTGAAGAGCTGAAAAATCGAATTTTTGGGGAGTCGAGAAATGGGAAAATCGAAACATAGACTAATTGAGAAATCTGAAAACTGAGAATTCAGAAAGAATTAAAAAATACCTATTAAATTATAGTTTTTGACATTTTCGACCATTTTTAAGCTATTTCCTTAAATTAAGTAGTTGAAGACATTTTCTCGTAGATTTCGATATCCAGAAATCATTTTCGGCTTAAATTACAATTAAAGTTTTTCTTTTCACATCCCAGATTCTATTATTAGTTTCTAGTCCCACCCAACAGAAGATCATAGTTGGCCCCGCCCACCCACCCTTCCTTCTTTTCAGTGAATATTTTTATTCGACCTGAATGAAATGGATGATCGGGAAATCTAAACATCAAAAAATCAAAAAATAAAATTTGAAAATTTAAAAATCGAAAAAATGAAAATCGAAGATCCAAAATTTTAAAAATTGAAAAATCCAAACATCGAAAAATTGGAAAACTCAAAGGTAAAAAATTGAAAAACCAAGAAATCTAAAAATCGAAAAATTCAAAAACTGAGACGTCGAGAATTCAAAAAATCAGAGGATCAAAAAATCGAGAAATGTCGAAAGCCGAGAAAAAAGTTAAAAATAGAAAAATTGATGAACCAAGAAATTGAACAATCTTGAAACATCGAAACATCTGAATTCGATAAATCGAGAAATCAAAAAATTGAAAAATCGAAAAATTTTACAAAAGAAATATTGGAAAATCGGGAATTTAAAAATTCAGAAAATTGATAAATTGAGATATACAAGAACTGATGACTCAAGAAATCGAAAAACCTAGGATTTAAAAACTTAACAATTAAAACATGGTAAAGTTGAAAAATTGAGAAATCGAAGTAATAAAACAATCGAAAAACTAAAAAATCTAAAGTTTAACGAAAAATTGAAACGCCAAAAAGCAAAAAATCGAAAAATGGAAGAATCAGGAGTCCAGAAATGGAAAGGTCGATAAATCGAAATATTGAAAAATCCCAAAACTGAAACAAGTATCAAAAAAACTGAGAAATCGAAAAACTAAAAAGCAAAGTCGAAAAATTGAAGAAGTAAAAAATCGAAACTTTGGGAAGTCGAAAAATGGGAAAATGAAAAAAAGATTACTTAAGACATCGGAAAACTGCAAAATTTAGAAACGTCAAAACCTGAAAAATTGAAAAATCGAAACATTCAGAAATCATAAAATTGAAGAGGACAAAAATTGAGAAATCGTATCATTTAAACATCGGAAAATTGAGAAACCAAAAAATAAAAAAAATCCAGGAATCGAAAATTTGGACAATGGAAAAATCGAAAAAGTCCAAAATTGAAATATTGAAAAATTGAAACATCTAAAGTTGAAAAATTGAAAAATCGAAATTGTTGATTTGTTTTTAAAAAAATTTCGACGTCTAATGTAAAAACTCAACACGGATTCATAAACCGTAAACGGAGGATATAAAATTTCAATTACATCTACTATTGTAAAATTTGGATATAACGTCAAATTGCTTAGAGTCGATATTGGCCTGAGTGCGCTCTCGTCTGTGGATCGAACAAGTTCTCAGGCGACGATTTGGAAATTTCAGCTTAAAATCGTGTATTTAAAAAAAATCGTACCTTTTTTTAAATATCGTAACATCCAAACAAAATTACAAAATTGATAAAAAATTAAATGACAATAATAATAAAAGGCCAATTTTGGATGGATTTGGACAACCATATTTTTAAATGAAAACTCATTTTACACAATTATCTGAAGAGAAATGGAGAAAATAAGCCCAAGTTCGTGATTCTCAGAAGATTTTCGGTGAGAATTAGGATATTTAAGACTGATTTAATCAGTTTGAATATTTTGATACAGATGGTGGAGGCGCCGGGACAATAAATAGTTAAAAATTATGTTTTCTCGGAATTTCTTCGGAATTTCTACTTGAATTTTTATATTTAGAAAAATATCGTGCTTCTCTTTAAATAACGTGACATCCAAACGAAA